AAATAGATTGTCATTTGGCAAAAATCTGCTTACTAGCAATGTTTGGTACGTCTTTTTCTAAAACATACTTTGCTGATTTGCAGTCTACTCTTACTAAGAATTTCTGGTTTAGTATATCATCCTGGAATTTTGAGATACACAGGACAATAACTAAAATTTTCTTTTTTAATAGTACTATAATTTGTTTGTGCTTTGTTCTAGATGTCAGAGTGGAAACGAACAATTTGCTTTGGAGATTCTAGAGTGAGTTTTTGGAGTAGGACACCACCGTAGCTAATGTCAGAGACATCAGTTTGGATGATTTTAAAGGAATCAACCGAAGGAATACCAAGGCAAGACAAAGTTTTAATGAAATGCTTTGACTTGTTGAACTATGGATGTATGAACAGATGTCCAAGGAGAAGGATTTTCTTTGAGTTTGTCATACAGAGGTTTGACAGTTTTCCTAAGATTCTGATAAAAGTCAGAAACATAATTTAGGGAACCTTAGAACCTTTGTAATTGGGTTTTATCAGTGATCTCATCAGGGAATTTATCTGCAAATTGGATAGAACAACTGATGGAAACAATGGTTGACTGTTGGATGTTGTATCCTAGAAACCTTACTGAGGTTTGGAACAACTTAATTTTTCTAGCAGAGATGACAAGACCATTGTGTTTGACAATCTCTAGGAATACATAAAGGTGCTTCCAGTGTTCTTCTATAGATCTGGAGAAGATGAGAATATCATCTGTATAGACTATAGAAAAATGGCTAATGGAGTTGAATATTTCATTCATTATATTTTGAAATTCACTATGGGCATTTGTTAATCTAAAGGGCATTACATTTTATTCATAATGACCAAAAGGAGTTATGAATACAGTTTTATATCTATCTTCTGGATAGATTTGAATTTGCCAATAACCGCTTTTCAAATCAAATTTTGAAAAGATTACTGAGTTACTAAGTCTTTTAATTAAATATTGTTTGTTTGGAATTGGGTACCTGATCCATTCCAATACAGAATTTAAAGGTTTATAATTGATTACTAATCTTGGTATGTCTCTTTCTAATTCTGCATTTTTGATGACATAGAAAGCTGGGCATGACCAAAGAGATTTACTCTTCCTAATGATACTATTTTTAGTAATTCAGAAATTTCTTTTTTGCAGATTTTCATTACTTCATGGCTCATTTGGATGAGTCTGAATTTAGTAGGAATATTTTGTTCCTTAAATCCTTTAATGTAAGGAAGTTTTATCATATGTTTCTTCCTATGCCAGAAAGCTGTAAGAAGGTTAAAACACACTTCTGTTTCAAGTTTTACTCTAATCTGATCAATCTTTTCAATTAAGATTGGGCGTTGCTCTTGAACTCTTTTTGTGATTAGTTCTTCTTTGAGAAATTTCACTTGTTTAGTTTTTTGATTAATTAAATTAAGATACTTAGAGATTGAATGATCCTTAAGTTATCTTAATTTCTTTACTTTTGGTTTAGTTACAAATTTAAATGTTACCAACTGATCAAGTGGTTTCATGGTTACACCATTTGTATCTATTATAAATGGATACAATAAATATACAAAAGGAAAACCAAGAATAACATCATCAGTCATATCTTTTACTAAGATAAATGATGTTTTGAAACATACATTATCTTAACAGATATGCACACTTGGTAGTTTGTATTTAACATTCATTTTACTATCATTTGCTGAACGAAGTCTTTCAATGGTTTTTTGATAGTACTTAGTTAGGATAATGCCTTCCTGGATGCAGTTTACATCTGCACCAGTGTCAATTAAAACAATAGTTTCTAATTCAAAATCATTATCAATGATGATTTTTACTTTAAAATGTCATTTTTGGAAACTAATTTTATTGACTAAATTAATTCTAAGATTATCATTAGCCTGGGAACATCCATCGTGGATGGCAGGTTCGTTACACCCAAAGGATCTACTAGAGAGGTGGAGGTTATGGGTATCCCCTGTAGATCTGTTCCATCCTGAGATTCTATCTCAGATTGTTCATTAACCTGTGGTTTTTTAGGATCAAAATCCTTTGTAGCGCCAAAATTATTTGTAGCGCCAAAACTATTTGTTGTGCCAAAACTATTTGTTGTTAAAAGATTTAAAGCTTCTGCAAGTTTCTTGTCTTGAGCTTTCAGTTCTTTTATTTCAGATTTTAGTTTATTAACTTCACTTTGGAGATCTTGTAAGGTGACTTTTTTTTTTTTCTCCTTACTAAATCTTTCCATTGTTGTGTTAATACTGATTAACTATTTTTGATTAAAAGATTGTTTTGTTTCTTTTTTAGCAAACAAATCTTTTAATTTTTTGATATATTTGACCTTTAACTCTGGGTCTTCAATATTGCAAATTAAATCAATGAGGATATGTTCTTCCTCATTTTGTTTGGTTATTACTCTAACTGTTTTACAACAACTATCATTGCAACCTAATTTGATCTTAGGTTCACTAGGGTTACTAGAGGCTGATTGATAGTCTGAAGAACTTTCAAAGCTGCTTGAGTATTCTGAACTTTCTTCACTATGAGAAAGATTGTTTAACCTAAAAATGTTGAGAATTTCTTCTTCATCTTTTTGGGTTAGATTCAATCTTTTGACTTGTTTTTTAATTGGACAATCTGGGCTTTTATGACCTTTTTTGCCACAGTTGTAGCATTTGATATATGTATCTTTTTTACTATCTTTTTCCCCGGATTTTTTCTTATAAGTTTTACACTTACAAGGTTTCCTGGGTTTTTTATTAGATTTTTCATAGTAGGTAGGTTTACTAAAAGTCTTTTTACTACGTTTGTAGTGACTTTTACTATGGGTATAAGGCTTGTGTGTCTTGGGTTTTCAGCGAGATGACGCTACTGATTGGAGACCATATTGTTCACAAAAATCACTCATTTCATATTTAGCCTTTTTCTTTTCATCTTTTAGTTGCATGTCAATACACATCCGCATACCTTCTTTTTGGATGATGCTAACAAGATCACCGTAGGTTAGTGAATCATATTCAATGATTCCTGTTTCTTTACTAAGTGCTTCTCTAATCTTATGGGCAAAGAGATTAGGTAGACCATTGACAAACTTTTCTTTCCAAAAAGATTTGTCACAGTCTTGCCGAAGCATGACTCTAGAGATGAATACATCTTTGTACCATCTAAAATCACTAAGTGTTAGACACCTAAGGTTATTGAGCTGGTCATGGATCCTAGCTTCAATATTACTAGGTTTGCCAACAAAATGTTTGATTATGGTGAAGATAAGGGTATTAATGCCATCATCTGTTGCTTTACCAAGTCTTTTATTGAAAACTGGTAATCCTTCATCATCAAGAACAACAACATATTTGATGTCATCTCTTGATTTTTGTGTAAGGTAGTTATCCCACCAATTTCTTAATACTCTCGTAAAACCAGAAGTAAAAGTAGTAACAAAACATAAGTGGAAAACAGAAAATTCCACAATAACTTCGAGTCATCCTCCAATAGAAACCATAGTAATTAGTCATTTGGATAAGAAAATTACAGCTTCACCTTTTAAGATTCCAACTAATGAATCTAATAAAAAGGTAATTGAGCAAAATAATTTCACTAACCAAAGCCTAATAACTATAGGTGAATAGCTTGATAAATTTGAAACTAAAATTGATGAAATCAAGCCATCTTCAAGTAAAAAATTAGAGAAACTTCTAATCAATCTACTTGAAGATAGATCTGGTATAGGATTAAGAGATAAGCAAACAATCCAAAAGATTGAAGAACTAATCTCTAAAAAAGAATCTAAATCTGGACCATCTCAAGTAACAGTTATCAACCAAACTTCTGATAATTCAGAACCTAATAGCTCAGAAAGCTCACCTGATTCTGAAATTGAAAAATTAGAAGAACAGTTTGGTAACCAAAAAATTAATAAATTAACTTTTTCAAAAGTTAATCCAATTAGTACTAGTAAAAATTGGTATTCAAAACCAACACCGCCAGATCTTCAATTTGAAAAAAAAAATGTTAGTAATCAGTTCTCAGTCCAATCCAATAAACTCTATGAATGGAATATAGATGGATTAAGTGAACAAGAAATTATTAATAAAATTAGTCATCTATCCATGATTGCTAATAGTTATGTCTCAAATCTTGATCTCACTAAACCAGAACTAGTTGACATTATATATATATATATTTCTTTGTTAATTGATGTTGAGCAGAGCCTTCCAGATTCAGCTTCCAGCACCTCAAACACATTTATTTTGACACTGGAAGGGAAATGATGAAGGGAATAAATTCAAAGCATACATATTTGATAAAACGGTGATAAGCCTTTCACCACATGACCATCTAATCAGACCAAACTGTCTATGTATGTTCGGAGGATATATTAACCAAATGGCGTAAACCACTTCACTGAAATGGGTTTTGGGTGGGAATGTGTTCATGAGTTTTTTGGTTGGTGGGTTGGGAAAAAGGAAAGGAAGGCGGTGGTGGGTTTGATTATGTAAGTCGGCAGCGATTGAATTTCATTGTGGCATCATGGTGTTTGGGTGAGAAAGAGAGAGAGGAAGAAGGAGATGGCTGCTATGAATAAAAAAAAAATTCAGAGGTACTGGAAGGTGGGAAGGAGAAGGGGTGAACACCGACCAAAAAACGGAGGTTACTAACAGGGGATGTTAGTGTTATTTTTAATACATGAGGGGGTCTTGTTGTTTGACCAAACCTCAGGGGAGGTGGATGTAATTTACCCTTAATTAATCTATCTACCGGGGTCATTGAAGCAGAATTGCAATGCCTTCAAATAGAACCGGATGAATAAAACCAGAGCTATAAAGCAATATTATAAATAAAGCAAAACAGTTACATCAAAGATTACCAGAAGCTTAGGGTATTATTTGATCTCCCCGTCCATACGCAACAGACGTACCTATATTACAATGTCAAATGTACTGCAACCTTCACACTCAATGTACAGTGCAGTTAGATCAAATCTTGACTCGATACAGATCTTGGGCCGCAACCTGCATCCCCTATCAAGATGTTCTGCATGAGCTTCAGCCAGCCGAGTTCGCAACAAGTCCAAAGTAACCTAGAAATACCAGAGAGACGCCTATGGTCAGACTCAGACGATAGAAAATGTCTATCAAGATGTTCTACATGAGCTTCAGCGATTGAATGATGCTTCTATCCTGTTATTTTACACGAACTATGATGGAAACTGTCCTCACAAATTATTGTACATAAACAAAACAAAAAGAGCAGTACACCACTGCTAAAACTTCAAAATTCGTCGTTCAGAGAACATTTATTATGAGTATGAAGCAAATTTGCATCACTCTACTCATTTGTGTAATTCAAGTTTCCATATGATCCATGATGTTCATGAATAATTGTCTAGAAGATAAAAGGAAGTTATGTCCATTTGAATTACTGCCAACCCACAAGGGAGACATACAAATTTACACCCTGGTGGACCGATCAACACGGGGGTGTGTAAATTTACTGAAAAAAAAGAAGGGAGGAGGTGTTATGGCTGGATAATGTTTAAATTAGGAGCACTACAGTACAGAGGACTTGGGGAAGTCACAACAAAAAGACCGTTCTTATTTCAGTTCATATAGTCTTTTACCAACAATTTGATAAGGTGACATTGAACAATCGACAAGTAATCAACAGAACAGAGTTGAAGCAAGAAAAGATTAGATCTCAAGCAATTGAGAAATAGTAGCAGGACCTCATCGCCTCTAGTGAGCTTAAGCTCACACCGGGTGCAATGTATAAAACTGCAGTTCTCCTGCAACTCTCCTTGCTTGCAGATGGGGCACCATAACTTCTGCACCTATTAGCAACATTCATGATTCAACATACTCGTTGGTTTCATTTATGAAAAACATTTACAAGGAAGACACAGGCAAGGGAAATAAAAAACATTCTTCTTGCTTCACAATGTGTATTGGATGAAGACATCAGATCATAAACCCGACATATGCAATGAACCATTCATAACATTGGCTTGTGAGAGAAAAATTGGTGAAATTTCACTACCGCAATTGCTAATATGGATAGCGGATGGCCAGCAAGAAGATTCGAATATGCAGCACAAATCATTCTTAATGCATTGAAAGAAAAGAAAGAAAACAAGTTTAGCCATGGTGGGATGAGTCGGCAAGAAGTGCGAGCAAATGGGATAACCAAAAAAAGAGACGAGATACCGATTAGCCAAAACATCAGTGTTCTGGTTTAAATTTTTACCCTTCTTCGGTCAGACTTTATCTGCAGTGTGCGTATGGTAGCATATGGATAAGAAAACAAAGGGGTGGCCTACCAGTTAAAACAACTCAAACCTACCACTTAAATGCACATGATAGTCATGCACACTTAGGGTGACAAATCCCTATACATTACTTGGAAAATGAGCGTCATGCAGAAAATAGTAAACAAATTTATTGAAAAAACATTATCAAAGAATTTTTTTAAAGATACCTACTAACTATACTTGCAAATATGAACAATTAATTTTCTGTATAATGAATCTGAATTTATGCCTGTGTCAGTTTCAAGACCCTAAATTCGCTGTGGCAGTGAACAGGCTTGAAGAATTAGAATTTTATTGAACCCTAGATGCCAAATGATGTGAGTTATATTATCTACACCAAAAAATAGGTCTGCTACTGACGCATTTGGTGATATCCTTAGATATTTATAGTTTTCACATTTTCAAGTATGATACCTGCTTATCATTCAGCTGCATATGCTCATAAACTGCACGTGCTAAGTACTCGTCTTCTTCATCCTCCCAAGTTCTGATATAGCGTTCTGGTTCTGCAAGTAGCAAAAGTAAATCATCAAAGATGATCATCAGACCAAAAATAATCCCACAATGCGAGAAGACGAAAAAAAAAAAATTGAGATGGTTCATAGAAACTAACTTGGTGATCAAATCTCTTGTTAAACTCCCTTATGGTGTGAAATTTCAAATAATATAGAAACAAATAACTTCAGAACCTTCTCCAAAAAGAAAAAGTGAAAAAAGGGTAATCATATCTGACCTCACGAAGTGGGGAGGGGTAATGTGATAAGACAGCAGAGAAATATAGAAAACATGATATCACACATTACAATTGCATCTTTGCAGAAATATTACTCAACTTCACTCGCATTGCAATATTTTCTCTTCTCATTAATAAGGTTTTTGAGGCTAGTATACAACTTTAAGATTGCATCAGAGCCTACAATGTGGAAGATGCAACTGTAACTCCTCACAAAAGAGCACCTATGAATTACCTCTTCTACTTTTCTGTGTCTTAAGATCCTCATAAAATATCCTTTGCATTTCTAACAAAATTTCTTCACATTCGCCTTGATAAGCTGTGTGAAGACCCTCATATTCCCATATTGCATCATCAGTATCAGGAGCAGGAATTAAGGTAGCAGAATAGTCCTTCAAAGGTGTGTCCTTAATTTTTCTTAGTTCATCAGTAACTATGTCCCGGAAAGTTGATTTAATTAACTCCTGCAACCAGAAAACTTAATACATAGGTAGTTTGAATAAGCAGATTTCACAGTCCAGAAACACAAACATGATACGTCATCACACTGGGAACAAAATCAAATCACAGTCACAAGAAGATCCATCAAATTAATATACAAAGAACACACAATTGTTGTGAATAGATAAGTGGGATATTACAGTCCCATGCAACATAACAGAGCATTACAAATGCAATGCATATACAAACAAGGATAGTTTCTTCTTTCTTTTGAAACTATAGATTGGTGAAGCTCAACCTAGGATTCTCCAACTGATGTAAAAAATTGTTGACAATGGTTATGGCTTCAATGCTTTTCCTCTGTTCCAATAAAAAAGAGAGAGGGATGGGGAAGACCTAATTATTTGGTTTATTTAATCAGCACGGATACAAAAACACATAAATTTTCTATAAACCGAAACAGAAAATGGAAAGGAGTTGTTCCCGGGCATCCTAAAAAATGAGGATATTATACACCCCAACCCCATCCCTTTGGAAAGAAAAAGGTAGCACCGAAGAAAGGATAGAGTGAGATGGCGGTTTTTCTTGTTCCCGCGATGCGATAAATGTTTACGCTGTCCACACAAATGTTATGCAGCATACGGATCAGTGTTTATGTAAAATGAGAAGGAGCATGTAACATGATTTCACACCATGACACACCAAAATCTAGACTTTCTCCAATATTTTCACATAAATGTCATAAATTACAAGACAAGAATTTTTAGGACATCCATGATGAGGCAGAGGTTCTTCGTATACAATAGCTTTTGACATGAATTGGAAAGATGTTGATACATTGCATGGATAGCATGCTACTCGTTCTTGTCAAGACCAAAATAGTAACATCCTAGCAGAAAAGCAAGCTTTCAGGAAAGTCTATACTTCGGCAATGAGATACATCAGCATCGACCTTGATTCAGCGTTATTGACATTTCTGCTATTTGTTAACACCAGCCTCTGGCGCTGATAGAATCTTGAGAAACATCTCAATCCAAAATCGCTCAAATTTTTATGTACTTCCACTAATCTCTCAACATTATACACACACCTCACGTGTATGTGTGTACAGCTATATTCTTAGTTTGCATACATTTTATTCATTTGCACATAGACGGAGAGAGGAGAAGAACCTTATGATTAAGAGATTGATCCTCAGGCCCCTCAGGCAACCTCATTTTCCAAAGGAGACGTGTTCGATCCTCTCGGACCCTTTTGTAACAGTTTTCTCTGAGCTGCACTTCAGAGGCGTAAAATTCATCAACTTCAACTTCCCTAAGCATATAATTACAGACTACACAAGCAGTACATATGCATATACATATCCTAAATACAAATTTCAACGATATTTTTGTTTTTGTGCGTGTGTGAGAGAGAGAGAGAGAGAGAGAATAGAGATAGGCATACCTTGTCTTTCCACTTGGGATAATTGTTGAAAGACACATGAGCTTTAAGAGAAGGTCGTGATTGGGGTGGTCTTTGATCCTTATCCCCCATCATTCTATCGGAATTCTTCCACTGTTAGTTTGTTGCGATTGCAGACTGAGAAGTTGTTAGGGTTTGTGAGAGAAAATTGGTCGACGCGAAGACAGTAATGAGGCGTTGCCGTGATGGGGACGAAGATGCGCGCCGATTGGATTTAATTCTCGATTTCTCGATCCTTCACGGTGCGGGTCGGGGCTCCTTATAATGATTTAAAATGTTTGTATTGATAGGTAAAAGTATTCACAAGAGTCGAAAAATCATCTACAAAAATTATAAACAAAAATATTATAAAAATATCCAGAAAAATTTTAAAAACACTTACAAAAATGATAAAAATTGAAAGTATGATATTGAAATTTTGATTTGGTACTGTAATCTTCTCCAAATTTATCCCATTTGAATTCATGTTTAATTTTTTGTTTTGAAAAAAGAAAAAGGATTAATTACAAATCACACCTTTAAAGTATTGATGTGATTCCTATTTAGTTCGTGGAGTTTTCATTTACTCAATTTAATCCTTAAAGTATTAATTATGTTTCTATAAAAGACTTCCATCCATATTCATTATAAACACTAAACCGTCAGTCAAATTCGGAGAGACATTTTCATCAACTTTTTCATTGTCTTCACCTAATACTCTAATTATAGTTATATTATTGACTCTTATCCTTAACTTATACCTCATGAGTAAAAGAGTATTTTGTTTATAAAAGAGTATTTTGTTAACTCATTTATAATAAAGTTGGACAGTAGTAATGCAATTGTAAATTTGGATAGTGATAATAAATTTATAAAGTTAATAAAAGGTCAATGATAATTAAAATTTATAAATATTTAATTTTGAGCAGTAATAGTTAATAATTAATTTTTTGTTTTTTTTAATATTTATTACAAATATTTTAGATGTATAATATCATGTTTATATATATGTGGATATTGATAAATTTTTATTAATTGATTATTTTGTATTAATTATTTATTAGAAATGAGTTGACGTTAGATTTGGGCTCAAATCTTATAAAATTAATTAATGAATTAATTTATAATAATTATTTAATTTTATAAATTAATTATTACAAAATTTAATAAATAAATTATGGCTACCCAAAATTAATAAATTTTTTATTATTGGACAGTGGTTATAAATTATTAATAAATTTATTATTAACTAAGATTTGGACATTGTCGATTTTTTTTGTGTTTTTGGTATGAGCAATGGTTGCAGGTGAGGGCAATGGGGAGAGTTAGACGAAAATGTTCCTCTAAATTTGACTGATCATTTAGTGTTTGTAATGAACAGAAGTCTCTCATGAAAAACAAAATCAATACTTTAAGGACTAGAGAGAGCAAATCAAAACTCCAAAAACCAAATAGGAATCGCATCAATACTTTAAGGGGGTGTTTGGTTTGATGAATAAACCTGGATAATTAATGTTAGATGGGATAAAAAAAATGGGGGGGGGCATTTATCCTTGGTTTGGCAAGGCATATGAAGGCTGGACAATTATTGGTATTGCAAAACTTGGCCTGTACTTATTTGGCTCGTTTATCCCTTCTCAAGTGGATAAACAAATTCCACCAAAACTTTGGGATTAAACAGCAGTCTATAGGATAACAAGTGTTTTTACCATTACACACTTGTAAAGCAGTAAAGTAGGGTTTCGTTATCCTATCTTCCCTCTTTTCATTGGTCTCTATCTTCAAACGGCGACAAATCCTCTCTATTGGCAAGGTAAGCTCTCTCTCTCTCTCTCTCTATATATATATATATATATATATATATATATATATATTGTAAATTTTGTGTATCTCGTGAGAGATGTTGGTCTATGTCGGTTTATCGATTTGTGTTCTGTTGTGGGTTCATTGGATGGATGTCGCTCTTTGTCTCTCTCTTTTCGTGTAGCTTTGTATGGGTGTATGTTGGGTATTTTTTTTATAAAATATGTTTTCTTTTTCACTCCTCCCCAACATGAGCCTCTCATTCTATCACTTTCTCTGACTGTCTCTTTCTGTATCCCTGTATACATTCTCTCTGTAGCCCACACTTAATATTGTGCTACCTAGCAGAAAATGTATGAATACGACTTAATACAGACACACAGTAGAGAGTAATGTGTTACCCAGCAGTGAGTAACACACATTGACATGAATAAACCTGTATACCTCTATCTTCTACATCTCTGTTGTTGCGTCTTTATGTCTGTATCGATGCATGTGTGTGTGGAGGGGTGTATGTGTAATTAGTGTCAACTTCTCCCTCTTGCGTGTCTTTGTCGTTGTGTGTTTGTTTGTGTGTGTGGGTGTATGTTTAACGTGTGTTGTCTCCTACCTCTTCTCTGTCTATGTCGTTGTGTGTCTGTGTGTGTGGGTGTATGTTCTCCTACCTCGTCTGTGTCACTGTCGCTGTGGGTGTATGTTCTCCTAACTTGTCTGTGTGTGTGTGGGTGGGTGTATATTCTCCTACCTCTTCTGCCTATCTATCGATATGTGTGGGGTGTGTGTGGGGGAGGGTGTCTGAGTGTATGTTTAGTTAGTGTGATCTCCTAACTAGTACATAGAAATATAGTGAGGTACACTGACATAGTAATTGTAGCAACACACACACCCGACACGATGCTCATGGGACACAGTCACAAACACAGATTATCCAAAGCGTACGCACATATGTTTGGTATGGGAAAAAATTGTAGTAATTGTTTCTGAGTTTACAAGTTTTTGTTTGCGTTCTACCATGTTTTGTTGTATTAAACTAGTTTTTACTTTGTTAACAGTGTGTTGGATCACCTTTTCGACGTTTAAGCCACGACTTAGGTATTCTCATTTATTTTGGACACTTGTGCTGTCTTATGTACTGGCCCATTGTTCTTATTTTTGTGTTAGTTGATTTGTGAGATTGAATACTCTGACTAAAATGAAGTAGTTTACATATTTGAGCATATGCTGAAGTCACATAGAATTTATGCTTATGTTTGTTTTTAGTTGTATGGAACACTGATAAATTTCTTCATGTTTTTAAGATTATTAAATAACACTAAAAACTAAAATAATTAACTTCTTTTTTGACTAAGAGTAGCATAAATTGGTGATAACAACGTTATTGGATAATTTTTTTTTTATGAATTAGGTATACATGGACAGCCCTACCGATGCATTGTTTGTTACTTACCCTTATGTGTAGGACTATTCAGGAGATGATTGTTATGTTTAATATTGTGGTGTCTATAATGTTGATGATATGAGACATGAAAAACAATGGTACCACATCTGAGGTTCCACGACACATTCAAAGGAGTCGGTTACAGATTGAACACTTGCACCATCTCATTGGGGAGAGTGACAAAATGTGTATAAACCAACTCAGGATGGATAGGCACACATTTGTGATACTGTGTAATATGGTTTGTGATATGGGGCAGTTAAGTCCAACTAGGAATGTAAGTGTGGAGGAGATGGTGACGAAGTTCTTAGGTATTTTAGCTCATGATGACAAAAATAAACCAATTAAGTTCAATTTCCTTCGCTTAGGTGAAACTATTAGTCATCATTTCAATAATATGCTTACGGCGATTTTGAGACTGCGTAGGTTATTGCTTCAATCCCCTAAACTTGTACCGGTGAACAGTATTACTAACAATAAATGGAAATGGTTTACGGTAAGCCCAGACTTTGACATTAATTTAAACACTAATTTTTATGCGTTTTACCTTAGCCTTTCTTAGGTTATATTACTTGATTGAAGATTTAAAAACTTTATTACTCAATTGGCTTTGTAGAATTGTGTGAGTGCATTAGATGACACTTATGTTCCTTTCCGATAACCTCTTGTCCATCAAGTTAGATATAGAACACATAGAGCTAACATAGCAACAAATGTGTTTGGGGGTAAGTGCACCGAACATGAAGTTCATTTGCGTGCTTCCTGTATGGGAGGGGTCAGCTATCAATTCTAGGATATTGTGGGATGATGTTACTAGGCCTAATGGGTTGAAGGTAGCACGTGGTAAGTACCATATTAAGATTGTGTATACAACAAACATATAACTATGAATAAAGTTACAGTTGTTGGATACATGTAACTAATATATTCTTATACAACACAAGCCTGTACTACTTAGTTGATGTTAGATATACAAATGGGGATGGATTTTTAGCACCATCAGGTCAACGGTATTATATCCAAGAATTTGCAGCTGGTTCTGCTGCACCCCGAAATCTCAAAGAATTGTTTAATCTGAGGCATTTTGCGGCAAAGACAAACATTAAGAGATGCTTTGCATTGCTTAAAAATAGATGGACAATTCTTAGGGCACCGTGCTACTATTTTGTGCACACTCATAACTGCATCATAGTTGCATGTTGTTTGCTACATAATTAAGAATGAAATGAGTGTTGATCCACTCGAAGAGGAGTTGCTCGAAGAAATTCCTATTGATGGTGAATATGCAGATGATGTCATAGACAATGTGGAGATATCTACTAAATGGTCTTTGTTTCGCAATTAGATGGCATTGGAGATTTACAATGAATGGAGAAGTAGTCATGGTCAACCTATGTAATTTCATGAATTTATATTTATGTGTTCATTACTTTTTTCCCAAAGAAATTATGTTTCATGTTATTGTATACAAGAAATGTAATGTGTTATAATGTAATTCACGTTTTTTTTTAACTTTTTGTGGTTGAAATTTATCGTGTTCGTGTCTTACCCGTCGTCCGGATAGTTATCGTAAAAAAAAAAATTTGTCATTTAATTGTTGTTGTGTTTTGAACATAATGTAGACAATGTCTGATAAAATTGGGAGTATACAATTAGAAAGGGTGTCCGAAGGACATGGACTACGACTGAAGATAATCAGCTTATACCATCTTTGAAGGACTCGTGCGTTAATGGGTGGAAGTGCTAGAATGACACATTTAGACTTAGGTATTTATAAGCCCTGGAGAACAGTTTAAAATCTGCAATTCCAAGTTGTCAATTGCGCGCTTCCCTTCATATTGAGTCGAAGCTGAAAATCTGGAAGAAAAATTACAACTCCCTGTTTACTATAATGTCTACTTCAGGCTTTGGGTTTAATAGTACTAAGAATAAGATACTAGTTGATGGTGACAACATTTGGCAA